CATCTTCATGTTTGAACCAGTGTTTTCTCGAGCCAATACAGATGAGACCAGAACTGAGCTTAACCATTTACTGCCAGATGTCGCGAATTTGTGACATACCAAAAAACTCCGAGCAAGTAAGTAACCAAATGCGTTCCACCTTTAATGCCGGCTGTCAAGTACTCATGAGGCATGTAGCTTTCAGCATGAAACTTTAGCACTGTCTCGTCTAAGGTGTTTTAGGCTAGGACCAATTGTATTGAAGCTGATGGTGGAAAGCGCGAAGCACATGCAACAGATCCAAATTCCTTTTTTCTCGCCTTGGTGACTTACGATCTATCTTCAATAATTTTGTTTATTTGGTGTGCATGCACTCAAGAGGTGGCACACAACATGTTACCTAGTTCTGAAGTGCGTTTTTTGTTGCAAGGTCCTCGCTTCTGTGGCACACGAAGAATTTGCAACCTACACATAAGTATGCATTAAAGTTGCATTTTAGATAATTTAGTTGTGGCATCATTTAAAGGTTACTATTTAAAGCTGGAAAATTAAAACAATTTCCATTTTGCTCAGCAGTTGCATAATTCAGGCATTACAGGGTTAAAAGGCAGCTTTTCTGCAATACGATACTGATGAGGTGAAGAATACAAAAAATCTGAAGGCATCATTCTTAATTGGACGTTGATTGTATTTGTCTTTAAAAATTTCGACCACAAAGGAGCCTAAAAGGCAGCTTTGCTGCAGCGCAAAAAACTGATGAGGTGAAGCATACTAAAGATCTGAAGGGGTCATCTGACGTCGACTACTTTGTCTTGGGGTAAGTTCGAATAGTAAAAATTCCAGTGCGAATCGAATTGAATAGCAAGCACCATTAAAAATTTTGAATATTCGCACACCCCTAATAATATGGCAATTTTAGTACGATTCCTGCATACTTCACCTACACAACAACTTCCCACCCCCTATCCTCACTCAATACAACCTCTTCAACATCTTGTAAAATGAAACCTTCTGATGTAATCCCTAGAAGGCAACCACACAATCCAATTATATTCAATTTTAAAGGCAGACTTCCTGTGTGAAATGCTTGCACTTGGTACCCGGTATGACAGTGATACACCAACTAGCTTACAACATATTTCAACTGTATACGCATAGAATGAACATTATATTTGTACAACTTGATATTTTGGAACATATAGCAAAAGTATACAGACCCTGGGAGTGCGTGCCAAATTGCATTGATGTGCTGGCGCCTGTTGTCGAGAGAGCTCTAAGAGCAGTGGTGTGCATGCGTGTCCTATTATATCTGCTTGCCGTCATGCAGCTTTGCCAAATATGATTATAGTGCTTGTCGACAGAACATCAAGTCAGTGTCGCTTTCTCTGCACCATGGTCGCAGCTAGGTGGCTCGCACACTCCGAGCACACTGCTTTATTTTTTTTTTATTTATTGCACCTTAATATGGCATGCTTCCATATGTTTATTCAAGTTTAGTTCAAGTTTATTCATTGCTGAGTACATGAGTACAAAAAAAAAAAGAGCTCACATAATATATACACAGCACCAGGAGGTCCCAAAGTAATGTGGCAGCAACTACGGGAACTGTTTGTGATAATTTAATGCCACATAAAAAAACACAATACGGTAGAACCTCATTTGATATGTTCCTGCTTAATACGATTTCCCGGCTCCTACGCTTGAACTCGCGGAAACTAGAAATGCCCCCCATAGAGCTATGTGTTCCTACGTTCCGCTTAATGTGTTCCCGAAAAATATGATTATTCAGCAGCAACATTCGGTATTGCAGCAAACTGTGGTTGTATGATACGTTTCGCGGGCAAAAATTCTCATTCAGGTCTGCAAAAAAAACCCCTCTCGCGTGTTTGTGAAGTCTGCGCAGCAACTGAGGTTTCTTTGCTCGTCCCGCACACTTTTTTTGTTCAGACCCATGGCTACAACAGCCAGGAGAACACTAGAGCTAACAATGTGGCACAAAGAATGGATGCGCTGTCGGTCACCTCCAGTTTGCCACGCTTTGGCACAAGATGAATGTGCTGCCTCTGCTACACAATGCACCGTGCATATTTCTCACTTTCACTACATCTGCCTCCTCTCTCAACCGCGTCTCACGCACAGATGGATTCTGTCATCGTGTTCTTTCTTTAAAAGATTTACAAAGCCACGCCCATTTAAGTATGTTAGCCACACACCTTTCAGTGGTAAAGATGCAAACACGATGCACCTCTCTCCAGTAATTCCCTTCCCCGCTCATTAGTGAAAGATGCGTGCCCCTCTGTGTTATCTGGGTGTCTGAAACTCTGCAAGGAAATCTCCACCAGAAATAAGCGTCGCCCAATGAGATCGTCGTCAGTGATTGTCAACTTCAAAGAGAAAAAAAAGGCATATGCAGGCTGGGACCTGTGTGAGGCTGCACGTTGCTCAGTAGTTCGAGACTCCAGACAGTTGCGTCAAGCATGGTGTCGAGAAAGCGTGAGCCCTTGCACTACTTGAGCACTACTTGGGAAAGTGTGATGAGTGAAATGATTAGCAATTATTCTAGGAAGTGTGGTTTTCGGCAACAGCTAGCACTGGAGGATACAGAGCGCAGTAAAGATGACCCTGTGGCGTGTGCTCAAACGTCAGACTCTGGAGTTTTGCAAATACACAGCGCCACTTTTCGATGCAGTTTTGAATAGTGTAAAGTCCGACTCCCTTGCAATTGCTGCGCAACCAGGTGCAATACAGCATTTGAAACAATGATCGAGTTAAATATTAGGTGTATTTGCACACTGAACACTTTGAAAAAAGAGCTACAAATGTCTTTCCGCTATTCGGATGTGTCACCGAACCGCTGTGAAGTGCTTGCTAGTTCACTTGCCAGAATGACGGCGAAAACAAGAGCTGACGCAACAGTTACGCGCTCTACAATAAGAGACCCCAGTCGACGCTACTATTGCATTGTGAATTGCCACGGACATAAAGGACTACAGTTTTACTAACTTCCGCAGTTTTTGTGAAGCAGAACGGCGAGAGCGCTGGATGCAGGCCGTTGCGAATGTGTTGGATAAGCGAATTACTTGCGTTCTCCACAGCCATTCACACAAGAAAGTGTGATAACGGAGGTCTCCTGAAATTGTTTGAGTTGCCTTGACGGAGAACCGTGGTAATTGATTACAAAGCTAGGCGACGCGTGCGATAAACCTCGCACATGCCACGACCACTGATAATATGAAGTTGTCGCCAATACACAGCATTACGCACGTAGGGCTTTAAAAGCTCTAAGTTCCGGCGTTAATTAGGAAATGCGAACAAGTATGTCACACAGGTAAATCACAGAATTATCGCAACCAAAATCAGGTTTTTCTTGCCATTGGTCTCCGCAATTCCCGGAGCTATCTCAGAGGCTTCAGTTTTGCCTTTCGTTGTACACCGAGAAAGTGTACACACATGTATCCTCATTAGCCGTATATACAAACGAATAACAACCATCAAGAGAACCATTCTAGCATGCATAATAAAATAGTACAATGCACAAGAAGTGAGAGATTGATTAAAAATGCACCTGCAAAGGCGAAAATCGCCACGGCTATTCGTGCCCGATAAAGCAAACTTTGTACCAATGATCCTAAGTAGATTGCTTGTGTATGCACTTCATCGCTTTGGCATCATGTGTATGCCCAAGTTTCACGCATTTAGGCGTTACAGAATGCTTGTCGGAGTGCTTGCCTCGAACACGTCATGCGATGCTCGCTTTCACTTGAATTGCTAGTTGCAGTACGCCGAAATAACTGAAAAATCTTTCGGATCGTATCCGCAGTTCGTTTTTATGAGCTTCCTACTTTTCTGAAGCGAGGTTGGATTGAAGGAAGGAGCTTACCAGCTTGCCAGGTTGTCGATATTCAGAAAACCGCACCTCAAGAACAATGAACGGGGAGGGCATATGACCGTTCGCTTGCGAACGCACTACCCTTTGCACTACCCATTTACAGCCGGCGTGTCGATCGGGGCGCAGGTAATGGTGTTTTTCGCAGCACCGCTTGGGCAAAGTCCGACGTCTGTGAAGCGTTCTCCTCCACCAGCGTCAATGCACCCTTCGCCGAGTTTGTCTCGACAGGCGACAATGTTCTGGCTTGTGAGCCGCAAAGTGTCGCCGAGATTGTCATGGAGGTAATGGGGGGCGACGCAGCTAAGGAGGTGGGGGATGAGGCACCAGATGACAGCGGTTAGCACGAAAGCGTGCGCTGACCTGCTAACTTCGCCGAAGCCCTTGCTGGACTAGAAGCCTTAGAAAGCTTCTTTTGCCCGAAAAACTATGAAAATTCGGACAAGGGGGTCTACAACGTGTGCTGAAGAAGCTTTTCTTGCCCAAGGTTGAGAGGCAGCAACAGAAAATTATGTTTTTTGAGAAATAAATGTTTTTTGCCCTTACACCTCTACATAAACTTCTCAGCCTCAACTTTTGCTGGATTTGGATCGTACGTTTATCTGCAGAAGTTTTTTATTAGAAATGTATTAATGAGGTTCTACTTTATTTTGCTCGAGCCATTCAAAGGCATCGATGAAAATAGTGCACCATGTGATAAATGAAAAAAGAAATAAAGTGATGTGTGCTGTAGGCACAAGTCAGCACAGTTGCCATTATTGTAAAACCATTGCAGATGCGATGGAGCAGAGAAATCGACGCCCAGTTCATGCTTAATCAACAGGCACCACAGCCATGTTAGACAAAGGCACCAGACTACATGATAGAACAAGCCCGTGCATTGCTGCGCCTATTGACATCAAGTGCCCCAGTGGCAGATGACAGTTCGACTCGTTTTGGCGAGCACTCCCGTGGCCCGTATACATTTCCTCATGAGTGTACATGCATGCAACCTAATAATAGAATGCAGTATTTCCTCATGGGTGTACATGCATGCAACTAATAATAAAGTGCATTTGGCTGCTCTTTCTGAACCTAAAATACTAAGATATAGTTTCTGCAATAGAACAAACAGTAAATAGAGAAAAATTCATACATGAGAAATGGGAGAATGTGAATCATCAGAAGAATCTCCAGCTGTTCTGCAAACTAGGTGAAGAATGTGAGTCTTTCCAAGATCCTGCATTAAAAAGCAATAACAAAACACATTATGAAGGTAATTCCAGAAATAAACAGCTCTACTAGACTAAAGAATCATCCCGAATGAAAAAGAAACACACAATAGACTGTGTGCAAGCTGTCCAGGATAACTCACAATCAGTCATTTACTGATACTTAGTACTGCGTTTGACACTGCGTATGCAAGAATATTATATTCCAAAGATGCCCCCCCCCCCCTCCCCATTTTAAAAATTATCATTTTGAAATACTACCTAAAGGCCAACTCCGGTGATTTGTCCAAGGTAAATGGATCTTAATAAAATTCAGTGGGTGCATTCGTAAGCACGTTTCCCCCTTTATGCCAAATTAGAGGCATGAGAGTTTCGCAAATTGTTTTCAAATAAATTTCATAGATTGCCTCAAAACGCTCACCTGGCTTGCCAGAATTATTGGTAACATTGTGAGTGTGACGTCAAGCTCTGCCAGGCGACGGAACTTAAGTGCCACTGCAGCGTCTGCTTGTCTGTTGTGAATTGTGGGTGTATGGGAGGCGCATCCTTGTTTGAGCGCGGGATTTCCTTTTCCATGTGAATGGGTGTGCTATGGGTAGCAAATGGTATTGTGTGATGGGCGGCATACGATAACAGCCACTGAACACTGACAGCTGATGACTACACTTCGTCTCGATCATAGGGTGTTTTAACTAGCACTGCCGGCTTACTGCACGGAAAGTACGGTTAATATCATGCCTTTTAAAGAAGCCACAGTTTCTCCAAAAAGGACGCAGCAATGCATGCGATAGCAACATATTCGAATGTTTTACAAAGCAAGGCTAGCATTTTTAGGAGCAATATTAATTGTAGTAAACATGCACTTGCTAATTAACCAAGTTTCTTGCGGCATGGCCACAGTAGATGACCACAACAAAGCTCGTGCGTAGTAACGGCGTTGATATATGAAGTGAGGCTGGCAGTCAACTCATTTAGATCCGATCTAATGTAACTCTACAAAACACTGCTGTAAGAGAACCCCGCCGCTCCGGTATACTTTCCGCACTGTTTTTTCGTGTTGAGAGCGCAGCCCGTAGAAGCTTTTGCCTGCTGTAGGGGCACAAAGCGCGCATGTTCATGTGCCGTGCGATGGACAAGGTAAAGTGTTTAACGAAATTGCGTTAGGGCACCATGACAAAACAGAACCACGATGAACTTCTTGCAGGTCAGTGAAGGTTGTGGAGTGTTCCAGCTTGTGACAACAGACAAAAAATTTGTGCTGAGGACGTCATGTGCACATATGTAGTTTCGCGTTTGATATGTGTGCAGTAACAGCTTGCACATGCATATTAAGACACCTTTTCTGCTTCGCTTGCTATGCTCGCCCCTTTGGCATTAGAACAACTGTGTTCGAGTGTCACTTTAACGTGCACAAGGTCTCTGCGGTTGCACAATACTTACAGCGGTGATTTTTTACGTGGAATATGGGCCTGGTGACCAGGCGCCGCGTCGGTCGCATGAGCGAGGAAATGCAACCATATAAGGCAGTGCACGGCTGATCGTGTTGTCTCTAGAGTGCTTAAACATAAATGTTGTGAAAACATTGACACCACACCCACCATAGTCAGTGCATCTAGCCCGCGTTCTCTAGTACTTGCTTCGTTGTCGGCAAGCTGTTAATTGCTGTGTAATAGTAGGAGGAAATGATTTCGCCAACGGTATCGTGTTGGCCAAGAGTGTTGAACGCTGTTCCATTGGTTTCGAATTGTCACAAAATGTGCGCTGCGCAGCCCAGGTGCTTACCAAGCTAGAGAAAGTCGAGCCTTCTGCTTCACATTCGTACGTAAACGATTGAAAAGAATTTGTGCAATCAATATGGCTGACTTTCGGCTTCACAGCAAGTGACGTCAGGGCCTCTCGGTTGTTTCCTTCCTCCATGAAATGATGGGTAGTACACGGATTTACCTAGTCTTGTACTTGAGGATGGTGAATCGCACTTGTGGCTTCGTTTACTGCTGCTTTTGGTTTTGTTTCGAGGGAAAGAACAAACATTGGTCGATTGTTGTTTCGTGACAAAGGAGCTTCAGGACACGCAAAGCCAAAAGGAACGTAAAGTATGAAGACCCGGCAAATCTGTGTACTACCCAGGATTCCCATGCTCGCTGAAGCTCCATGCGTTGCAGCTTCCATAAACATTTCCACCAGAGTTCCCTCTAGTGCATTTTCAGGAAACTCTATAAAAGTCTGTTGTAACAGTACTTAGATTTCACGTACTCCTTTTGCAACAAACTAAAATCCTGTTCACTATGGAGGTCTGTTGTAATGAGATTATACTTATATTAATACCTCGGGTTTAACGTCCCGAAGCCACGATATGATTATGAGGGACGCCATAGTGGGGCCCAGGCTCTGGAAATTTTGACCACCTGGGGTTCTCTAACGTGCACCTGATATCCGAGTACACCAGTCTTATTTTTGCTCCCATAAAAAATGCAGACACCGCAGCCGGGATTTGATCCCGCCAAGACATGTACATAAATTAAGCATGGCCATCGACAGGACTTTGCCTTAGGGGGTGCAACCCTGTCTTGCATCAAGGCGGGAGAGGGGGGCACTGATGTGGCCTCAAGAGGGGAGGGGGGGTGCTCATGTAGCTTGAGGGGGGATAGTGTCCCTTTGGCACCCCCCCCCCCCCCCCAGCTGGTGCTCATGTAACTAAGTCATTAAATGAAAATATTATTACTGAGGCTTGCTGAAAATTTACCTCCATTATTAATGTTCCCTTATAAACATTTCCCGTTAAATAGCCTTTTGACTCATATACACAATTTTAACAGGGTGCAGCTGTCCCTTTTAAACAAATGGTACACTACAGCATCTACTATTGGTACATATATACAAGAGACATAAAAGCAATCGAGACAATAAATATGAAAAAACAAAACAAGAGAAAACAGAATAAATGACACATGCTAAAAAAAAAAAACAGGCAATCACCATACCACATACACATTTAAGCAGTTAAATGGCGATTCTCACCCTCAAACACAACTTCTGTTGTGTTGCTATGCAGCCTGCTTGTAGTACTCTTGTATTGAATATTTAAAAACTATCATAAACTCACCATGCGAAACACATCTTTCAAGGCTATTTCATTTTCTAGGAGCTGTCCTGAATAGATCAGCTTCTGATCTTCTGGCCTCTGCATGAGAGAGTAAAAATTTCAATTTTTCATGGATGCTTCTTTAAAGATTGATTAAACTTTGCCCTATTGAGTTTTCAATGTGCCTCAACATTCACATGTCTGTTGCAACATTTGATATGCATGAGGAACATAATGGCACATTATGATAGCATGACGCAAAAGTTGACAACACCACTCTTAAGGTAAAGTTGTGGCCATTTTATGAATCGCAGAAGTTACGGAACGCCAGCCTTCACGTGAAGCACGGCCAGAAAGACGGATTTGTGAGACAAGCAACAGAACGCCTTTAATGAAACCCAAGAGAAAATGAGCGGCTCCCAAGAAAGTGGGCAACGAGTGACAGCAACTATCAGTTTCTACTAGAAACCACAGCTGGAGCAACCTAATCCTCGTCAGAACCGCACCTAAGGAAGCAATGAGCGGAACCGCTACATTACAAGCAAGTAAGCCATGATTATCAACGACATGGACTACCTGAAACTCAAATGCAGCTCGATGCAGGCAATTAATGAAAATCAAGAATGAGGCTACAATGCATTTGGAAAGTGAGAGCGACGACCAGACCACGTTCAGCAAAGTCATAGACAAGGTTTTCGCAAGCCGCGGCGAGCTTCAAAACGTCAATGCCGATATCAAGGACGTGATTCCGGTCGAGGAACTGTAAAATGAGTAAGAGTCTGTTGCGCATTATGAGGATCAGGCGCTTGAAACAAGAGCTCAGCCACAGCAATGCACGGTAGACCTCTACTTCGACCAACACGTTGCCTGCCCCAATCACAGCTGCATCCCAGAACTTCGGACCGCATCTCCCAATGCTGACGATCAAGCCGTTTCATGTTGATGTGTCAATGAACATTGTTTTGGGAGCGTTTACAATGGAGCTGTTCACACGATCCCATCCCTGAGCACTACAAACAAATTTCACTACCTTCGCAACTATCTGGTAGGTGAAGCCACAGCTGCGATTGCCGGGCTACCAACAACGAAAGCGTGCTATGACAGTGCCATCCAGCTGTTGAAACAGCGGTTCGGGGACAAGGGCAGGATTATACAGCAGCACTTCAGAGCTCTTCATGAACTTCCACCGGTGATGTCTTCATTGGATACAAGGGTACTACACTAGCTTTATGATGCAGTCCAGCTGAACGTCTGCTGCCTCAAGATTTTAGATGTCCCAACGAGCAGTTTTTCAGAAATGCTATACGACATTTTATTTCAAGCCTTGACACAAGAAATCGTCGTTGCGTTACACAGTCATGGATGTCGCCATGAAGAAGCACAAGGTGCGGAAACATCTGCTTCAGTGGAGGTACCCACAATGTATTGCAAGAAAATTGAACAATATGCACAGAGCTCGAAACAAGAGAGCAGTGTGCTCCATCGATGCCCTCTATCAAACCCAACGACAACCACGGAAAACATGTGCCATCAGTCCTACACCTACCGGGAGAATTGAAGCAAGCACAAGACTGCTTCTTTTGCAAGTCTGCAGAACACGATACAGAGGCATGGAGCGCTACCCTGACCATACTTGAAAAAAAAAAAAAAAAAAAAAACACCTTCTGGCTAAATTTATGCAGTGCTATCCGTACCCTAAGAAGGGCCACCACGCAAATGAAAGCCGGCAGAGGTTGGTGTGCGCAACATGCAAAGGCAGGCATGCTTCACCAATAATTAAGAAGACATGCCTACCGGTGAATATGTTTGCGTCAAAAGCCCCTTCTCGTGTGAGAAAATTCAATGTCGTCGAAGTTCGCCCGAGGAGCCAGTACAACAAAAAGGAACACACCAACTGTACATGATGACACTAGTGGTGCACGCACTTCTTAGCGCTCGCTGAAGAGACAGCAACCCACGATCACTCCTTCTTCGTCTGCTATCTCCGACAACACGCTTCTCATAAAAAGATATATAGAACTCACTTGCATAAAAAAAGGCAGAATACAAACCTTTCGAAAGAGAAATGTCATGAGTGGCCTATATTACAAAATAAGGACATGTCATCATACTCTATGCAATATTTATAAACATTGCATCATTATAAAACTACACACTGTTTTAAGTGCACTGATGAGGATATACAGCAGACAAAAACAAGCTACAACTGAAAAATGGTTTCAATGAAAAAAGGTGCACTTTCTTGCATGAATATCCAACATTACAATAAAGATGCCAAAGTTCACACTTGAACCTGTCCATTTGCTCCTGCTCACTATCGAACATTTCTAAATACATTTCTGATCTACAATATTGAGCGAAACGCCTATGAAGGTTGAAAAGAAACTTAACCTTATCAGCACAGTCAACAGCAATGCTTGGCAAGATGAAAACTAAGCTTTGCTGTTTAGATAACAAGGTGTCAAATGTATTTCACCCCCCTTTCAGTGCAACCTTGAGGTTCAAGAAGTAGGTGTATAGACTCAAACCTCACAAACTTTAAGTGTTGAAATCGTCTGGGAAACACAAGCTTGTAATGTAGATGTGTGAAAATGAGTTTAGTGAAAGAATGAACCGGGTTATTTGCAGGCAAAAGGTGAAAAAAAAAAAATTAAATTGAGGTTCTTTTTACACAATCTCAATTGATAGAAAATAAAAGATTCTTCTCAATGGTAACTTTGCTCAGTTACATAAAAGTTACAATATGTTTGCCTTGCTATTGATCTACATAAGTACTGTGGTGTTAGCTCTGTTATCCTAAACACACATGAATTAGGTGACTAGCAGTGCATTTAAACTGGCTGTTTTCATTTGTATAAGCTATTGACAGATTTAAACTGAAATATCCATTGCCCAGCTAAACTCAACCTATAAAACAGGTCTTATATTTACTCTAGGCCATTCACAATCAATCAGCACACATTACATTACGACACATACAGCTATTCAAGCCAGTATTTTATAGCAATGCCTATGCCTTTTCATGCTTGGCCAGTGGTCAAGCATGAACAGGATGAGGTGAACATAAGAGTGGATGCAACTAGCATACAAATGAGCATAACAAACTGCTAGAAATTACGGAACCAGTACTGCTAGTGGAGTTTGCCAACCACCCACTCAAAAAAATTTTGCACAAGCACATAAGCTGCTTTCAAGAAAAATTTGTTTATCAGCACTCATTTTGAGCAAAGTGAGCCTACAAACCGCTCACCCCCCAAATCCCTCAAGACCTAGCTGTTCAATACGTTGTTGTCACTCGCATACAATGTGGAACTATGAATAATATACAGAAATCACGAACGTCATGTAGAAGTTCTTCACGAAAGAAGGCAAGGTCACAACACTGTTTCTGAAAATAAGGCAAAGTGATAATGTGATTAAAGCATAAAGTCATGAAATTAGAGAATGAGCATGCATACATGGTGATAATGAAGAACTGGATGGCTAACAATACTTTGACTTGTATACAACCCACATAAGTGCAACGCAAAGTTATGAACTTGAGCATCTACATACGAATTATTTTGCGAGTGTTGGTATTGTGTACTGTTGCTTCACCTATCACATGCTAATTTGATAGATTAACTTACAGGTTTGTTTGGGTAGATATTGGAAAGGTGCTGCTTGAGCTGTTGCACGGACCAGTCCAAGGAACAATAAACCTGTTGGTCTCCAAATTTTTGGTTAGGCGCCCGAATCACAAGGCAAGTGCTCATATTTTGAGCAGCCATAAATGCGCTTCTCCGCAATGCTTGCCCCCTGTAAAACACACGTACTTACATGCACACAAAACAAATACAAAAGTGTTTCCTTGACGCACGACAAGGACACAGGTGATAGTTTACGCTTGTTTCCTGGTTTCCAAGTGCGAGCTGCGAAGTGTTCATGCAAAGGTCGATTCCAATAAACAATTCTGCAGTTTCAGAAACGAGAAATGCACACAATACTTATTCCGCAGCTGGCCCACGTAATGCCCTGGAAGCACGCAATCAACATTGTAATTCAAAGAACTTTACAATAGAAGCAGGTCTCATCTTCGCGTAAAACATCAAGCGCGCGATGCGGCCCGCAACAAGACGAAATGCTTACCAAGTGATGATGTGCCGCTTGAGCGCTTATCGCTAAGTGCTGCGACAAACATCTCAGCAAGAAGCACTGCTATTGTTTTTTTGTTTTTTTTAAGAAAGCTCGCGTTGTAGCATTATCTTGCATCCGACAGTTTTTGTTGCGGGCGCCTATATAATCGTCTTCAGTATTAGAACCCTTCGCGCACTACGCACAATTTGCAAGATACCCGCCAGTGAATCAAATACAAATCTTCGGCAAATTGGAAGCCGCATCACTCCTATTACCTAAAAACAATTATCACGTATGACGTAAAAATATAAGCGCCGGAGAGCACCACGCAGTAATAAATCGCGCATAACAAAGCTGCTACCCTACGTAAAATGCACTGTGGGTGACCTCGAAGGCGAGAACACTTTTCAAGGGTTAGACTTTCACACAGCTAGAGCGTAAGTCGACAAAAATGATTAGAGTAACAGTTACTGTCGTCTAACAAGCTCCTCAACGCGTGGCAAAATCTCAGTCGGGAGAAAAGGCAAGAATCAATTATTGACCAAACCTCCGCGGCGATCCTGAATTGCTGACTGCACCTGTCCGTGATCGCGTGCTGAAGAAGAAGTGATCATGCACGTACCTTGTACTGTCTGAATATGAGCGATGATCACAGTCCACGAGAATTTTCGTATGCATAAAGCAGCAAAATCACACACCGCTCAAACAAAATCGTCCCAACCCCCCTCGAGTGTTCTGCAAGAGCCGAAGATTTGTCGTTCACTCATTGGTGGGTATCTTGCAACGAGGGTAGCGCATACTCTCGCCACGCAGGCAGCGTGCTGCGAGCGCACGGAGCGAGCGGTCATGCTTCACATCGGCTCCGTAGGAAATGCTAATTTTCGGCGGACCATCGACCCCTACAGGACTAATTTTGGTACGTGAGTGATCAACTCGGTGAGTGGACCACGTCAATACCAAATTTGGGCCATTTCACCCAATTTTGGGAGTCTTAGAGCGATTTCATGTGCGAAGCGGGCGAGGCCCCGCTATGCCTACCGACGGCTACTTTCGCTCCGACCATGTGCTCGGTCGGCGCGGCACTTGAGGCGGCCTTGGAGGCCTCCCCAGAGCTCGCCAGGCTTCGGAACGACGAGAACGACCAACACTACGAAGAATTCCAAGCTATGGACACCTCGGCAGCGGATATAAGTGCAGATTCTGCTCGCAAGAGGCGGAATGGCCAGCTAGGCCTAACCGCCGCGAAGAGAAAGCCGCCGAACAACCGACCGGATCGCGACTCGACGCCAGCGGGGACTGCTCGACGACGATCGGCGACGGTTTTCCGACCGCCACCGGCATCGGACAGTGTGTTACCGCGGTGAACAGTGACTGTGACCCGCCGAACTCGTGTGCGGGTTGGACCGTAGTGGCCTCTCGACGCGAGAAGAAACGGCAAAAAACGGGCAGCCCATCGCAGCGGGATACCCACACCGCAGGTGAGCCGAGCAAGTTTCTATCGGCTTCGAACTCTAAGTTGAAGGAGGAGCGTAGGCGCGAACAGAAAGCGCAGTACGTTGCGAAAGTGAACGCTAATATGGCAAAGTCAGCCCGCATGCCTACTTTCGCCAAGAAAGACGAACACCGCGTGGTTATTAGGCCTCGTGGGGGACTCGTAGTGAGTGCCACCAAAATGACCACGCTGCGCACAGCCATCATAACAGCGGCTAACATTAAGATCGAAGAAGCGGAGGACGATTCGTTTGCGCCGAACGCCGCCCAGAACATTATAGTGCTGAGCACTCCTAGCGAAGCGAGATCTTTTCGCTACGGATCGATCCGTAATATCACGGTGGAGGAACGCACGTATGAAACGTTTGCGTATAAGAGCACCCCAGACAACACCTCACGGGGTGTAATAAGTGGAGTGGGCAGAGAGGAACCCGAGGAACAGATCACTCGGTTCCTAGTGAACAAGCATAACCCCACCGTTATGGCCGCACACCGGCTCGGAAATTCTGAGTCGGTGGTAATTCTGTTTGAAGGAAACAAAGTACCGCGCTACGTAAAGTATGGCGGCTTTGTCTCGAAGTGTACGCTGTACAGGCAGCACCGTGAGGTCTGCACTACATGCGGCAAAATAGGGCACAGGAAAGATGTGTGTCCAACACCGAATGCTAGGGTGTGCTTCGCTTGCGGTAGAAACAACCCAGGAGAAGACCATGCAGAATACTGCAAACCAAGATGCAAGTTCTGCCTCGGCTCCCACGTCACGGGCGCGGGCAAATGCAAGAACAAATTCAAAACGCCGCTACAAATCAAGCAGCGGCAGAGGATAAAGCAGATCACTGAAACTATAACCGAGATGACGCCCGCGAAAGCGCCCGGGGAGGCTGCGCTTTCTAGAAGATTCGACTTCCCGGAGCCGGGAGCCAGCGGGACACGTCACGAACAAAACGGCGTGGCAAGCCGTGATAGGAGCAGAGCGGAACCGGAGGACGTGAAGTGGGCTGACGTCACTTCCGGAAGACCGAAAGAAACGCGTCCGCCAAGACCGGCGCCGCAGGTGCAAGCGCACCTGAGCGTGACAAACAAGTCTGACATCAATGGCGCGGCGATGACGCAAACGAGCGGGGCCCTGAGCAGAGCAGCAGCTGCAACGCTGAAGGAGCCTGGCAAGACGCCAAGCGGCGGCGGCTGCAGCGAACAATGCAAGAAAGAGACGCGGGAGTTGAAAGCTACCGTTAAGAAAATGGAGAAGGCGATGGAGGAACTCCAGACGGCGATGGCGGCGACGCAGCTCACCATCAAACAACAACGAGGCGTCATCGACGAACAACGAGACGCCATTAGAAGGCTTCAAGAGGGGGGATCAAGGAACGAAGCCAACAACAAGATGGCGACAGACGCCGATGAGGATGACAACGGAACCCCAACGAACATCACGGGCAACCGCTTTGTCAACACTACAACCCCTAAGACCTACCAATTCACCGCCAAAGCGAAGACCCCAACAAGGGCATCCATGATTGCGGTGGCAAGAGGGTTGGAAGCACAACACGAAGAGGAACTAGAAAGCGAAAGCAACGAGGAAGAAGATGATAGTGCCTCGGTCATCTCGGTGGCAACTACAAACAACGGAGACAGGACCAAACCCCTCGGCTACGGGAGCTTCAGTAAGAAGATCGGTCGGAACGCGAGAGCTATAAAGAAATGGGGCAAGAGCTTTGAGGGCATCGAGCAGAGAATCCTCACGAAATGCACCCAAGTCATCCAACAGCAACTTGCGCAAATGATTCAGCTCCAAATCGAGCAAGCGCTAGAGAGGGCCCTGAGCCCCGAGAAGCTGCAGCCGCTAATTGGTGAAGCGGCGCATCAATATTGCCAAACACAAAAGGCTCTCCCTCATAATGGACAGCAACAATAAGATCAAGATCTGGCACTGGAACGCCAACGGGTTCCGGTGCCGAAAAGCAATCCTACAACAGTACTTGAGATCGCTGGCACCGACGGCTCGCCCGGACGTGATAGCGGTCCAAGAAACCCACACTGAAGACACGCCGACGCTGCCAGGGTATCGGACACACGCCTGCCCCCCGTCCGCTCGCACATGCGGGAAGGGTGCGGCGCAGGGCGTGTGCACGTTCATCCGGAAAGGCATCGCCCACGTGAAACACCAACAGTTCCTGGGCAGCAGGGACACCGCCATCGAGCTGTGCGTCACCGAGCTAGCGATTAGCGGCAAAGGACGAGGAACCCGGGGTGCACGAAAGAAGAAGACATCAACCACCGTCTTCATCGCGAACATCTATAGCAATCCAAGACATGGAAAGCAGAAATTCAAAACTCTTTTCCATAAGATCAAGAGCGCCACATCACAAGCACAGAAAGACCTGGCCAAAAGAGGAGACGCTGCCGCGGTAATATGCGGTGATTTCAACGCGCAACATCGAGAGCTCGGCTACACGACCACCACGTCCAAGGGAAGGAACCTTCTTGAAGATGCCGGCGAAGCCGAGTTCACGTTACTGATCAATCCAGCCCAACCATCAAGGATCGGAACATCGGTTGCTCGGGATACAAATCCAGACCTCACCTTTGCGATGCTGCCCGAAGGTGGCACCGCGAAGTGGAGGAATACGGGAATCAACCTGGGCAGCGATCACTTCATCATCGAAATTGAATTACCGCTGGCTCATCTCAACGGAAACCCGAACCGTGACAAAACAATAAAGCACAAACTCGTCGACTGGAGCAAGTTCCGTAACACAGAACTCGGCGAAGTCGACAATATCGACGAGTGGTCAGCGAAGCTGCTGGCGGCAACAGAAGGGGCCACAGAAGAGATCGATGCACCCGAGGAAATCGAAACCATGGACCCGAGACTAGCCCACCTCCTCGAAGCCAGGCGCTCGCTCCAAAAGCGTTGGCGGCGGCAACGTCACAACAGAAAGCTACGAAAGAAGATCGCAGAACTCGGCCGAGAGATCGAGCGACACAGCAGGCAGCTCTGCTCACAGCAGTGGTTTGCACTCTGCAGCCAGGCTGATGGACAGCTTCACCGTGGCGGCACTTGGAAACTCCTCAGGCAACTGATGGATGAGACCAAGAGCTGTGAATACCAACGTACACGCATGGCCCAAATTCTACACACCACCGCTCGTCAACTGGGCGAAGAGGAGATGTTCAAGCGACTCAACGAGCGCTACCTCCCCATCACCAGTCACGAAGATCACCCAGACTACGCCGGCCAGCCGAACCTCCACCTCGACCGAGATCTAGAGGAATGGGAAGTGAGGCAGGCGGCCCAGGACCTGAACTGTCGTTCGGCCGCCGGACCCGACAGAGTTACTAACAAAGCTCTACGCAACCTGAGTGACTCAGCCATCACATCACTGACACGCTACTACAACGAATGCTGGCGTAACGGCAAGCTGCCCAAGGCCTGGAAGACAGCAAAGACGATCCTGCTGCCAAAACCAAACAAGCCACCGGGTATAGAGGGCCTGCGTCCCATCTCGCTCACGTCCTGCGTGGGAAAGGTACTGGAGCACGTTCTTAACACCCGGTGGAACCGTTACATGGAAGCGCACCATGTCTACCCGGACTCAATGCTTGGCTTCCGGGCCAAATTGGGAACTCAAGACGCCATGCTCCTGATCCAACGAGAAGTCCTTGACCCACCGGGCGGGACTCCAAAGAATGACAACCGAGCGATCTTGGGCCTGGACCTGCAAAGCGCCTTCGACAACGTTAGACACTCGTCGGTCCTGGCTCAGGTGTCCCGCCTGGGGCTGGGCGCAAGATCGTACAACTACATCAGAGCCTTCCTTTCTCGCCGCACGGCCAGGCTGGAGGTGGGAGGAACGAAGCTCGAAGAACGAGAGCTGGGCAGTGTCGGGACCCCACAAGGCTCGGTCATCTCCCCGTTCCTGTTTAACATTGTCATGATCGAGGTGGCCAGGCGTCTGGAGGCGCTAGGCCCGGGGATACGACACTGCCTCTACGCCGACGACGTAACCATCTGGGCCACGGGTGGAAGCGACGGAGACATCGAGGCGGGTCTGCAGGCGGCGGTGGACGCCGTGGAGTCCGCACTCTTGGGCACGGGCTTGCGGTGTTCGCCACAAAAATCACAGCTACTCATCCTGCCACCACCTGGGAGGCACAGAAAGAAGGCAAGTCGAGAGGCGGCCGAGAACATCATCGTGCGCACCAGTGACGGTATGCAGATCCCGCACGTCCCGGGGCTTCGAGTCCTGGGGATGTTCGTGGACGGCACCCAAACCAACGCCACGGCGGTCAAGAACATCACAACCAAGATGGGCATCGCAGCGCGCCTGGTCAAGCGAATGTCGTCCCGCTACCGGGGCATGAAAGAGAGGGGGCTCCTGCATCTGCTGCAGGCTTTCGTTATAAGCCACGCGGCATATGCGGGGGCCTTTCACCGCTGGACCGGCGCGGAACGAGCCAAGATCGACGCTGCCATCCGGAAGGCTTACGCGGGGGCTCTTGGGCTCCTACCAGGCACAAAGACAACGGCCTTGCTGTCTCTGGGAACACACAACACGCTCTCGGAGATCAGCGAGGCCCAGAGAGCTTCGCAGCTGAGCCGCCTGAGCGACACAGCCGCGGGCAGAGGATTACTCGATCGGGTAGGATTATTACCTCCTGGAGAACGCCCGGGCGCAGGACCGGACAGGGAGCTAGAAAAGCAAGTCCCCCTGAGCGATGAGGCAGCGAGGAAAATCATTGTCTACCCGCTGCCAAAGAACATGGACCCAGAAAGGGACGCGGGCAGGCGAGCGGCGAGAGCAGTGGCGCTGGCCCGTCAACATCAGAGAGACGAGGGCGCAGTCTACGTGGATGCCGCAAGATATTCGGGAAGACGCAACGCCTTCGCAGCAGTGGTGGTCAGCGCCACTACCGGTAAACTACTAACAGCAAGCACCGTGCGCGCCCGAACAGCCGGCCAGGCAGAGGAGGCGGCGATAGCCCTGGCCACAGGTAGGCCGGGCACGCGCACGGTGCTAAGCGACTCAAAGCAGGCAATTAGGAATTTTGCCCGAGGCATGGTCTGGCGGGGCACGGAGCGGCTAGTGACGTCCATCGCGGCCTCGCGGGCTGCTCGCGGCGCCGCTGTAGGACCAACCATCGCCCTCAAATGGTTCCCAGCCCACATGGGACGACACCTGGCTCCCGACATCGAGAACCGCAACGAGGAGGCGGACGCTGTGGCCCGTGATCTCATCACGTGCCGGACCGCGGCAGCCCGTCTCCCTGAAACCAGCGGTGAAGAACGAGAAGACCTCGATCCCCTCACCGACTACGGAGGGATCCTGGCGGCCTACAGAGAGGCCAGGAGAGCCTTTCCGCCCCCGCATCGTGAACTGTCACGTGCGGAAGCAGTGAAGCTCCGACAACTGCAAACGGAATGCGTGCTAACGCCAGCATTGGCCCGGCACGTATGCCCCGACATGTTTGTGGACGCTAAGTGTAGCGCGTGCGAACGTGAACTAGCCACCCTCCGCCACATCATGTGGGGCGGGTGTAACAGTGGTGTGAACAATGGGAATGGGCAGTGCCAGGACGCCACGTATCCCGATGAGGTGGGAGCATGGATACGCTCCCAAGACTTAAACACACAACGAAGGGCCATCCAGCGGCTTGAGGAGGCCCTGGCAAAGCAGACGAGAAAGGGAACCGACGCCCCGGACAACGGGAGCGGAGGAGCCCGAGTATCCAATGCCTAGCCAGAGCACAACATCCTCAAGATCTAGAGCCTGGGACTATAGGACTATTAGCTATAGTTTTTAGATAGGGAATACCCGCGCCCTGCGCGGACTTCCCGCACGCCGGATGCACAAAAATGTTGTTTCTCTCTCTCTCTCGCCACGCAACCAACAACACCGCCACCCATGGCGCCGCTGTAGCCGCGGTTTACGCAGCACAGAGGAGGCGCTAGTTTACGTTTACATGTTTGCATATCGAAGACTGTGCGGCTGTTGGAGGCTCCGGTTGTTTGTTGCTATAAGTGTGATATTTGCACCCTTGCATTTGCTTTTTATTTCACGTGCGTTAAAATAATTGATCAGTGAGGATGCCTTATCTTCGAAGGTCGTGTTGGTACTACGAATGCAACAGCGAAAGTCTTGTAAGTGTGTTAAATAATGTGTTACCGGTGCGCAGGTTGCGGTTACAGCACCCCAGACATTATATTTCCATGCCTGCTTTCTGTCCCTGCTTTCGCATGTCAAAGTGAAAGCAGCGATTGAGCCTTCCTGCTGACCCGAGGTTTAATAAAAGTAATGAGTGTATACGTGTCTAGAAAAACTTTGGTGGGAGACTGTCTTGTTAAAGGAGGCGTGTCTCCAAAACTTGATAGTAGTTTAGCTTCTTGCTGACCCTTTTTGATCGCCTAGTTTCCTTTAACTGAAGTTGTTTACGTTAACTGTCTAAAATAGAAACCGACATGAGCTGCTTGGTGTTGGGATAGTGTTGCACATACGCTGCATGAGTGATCGCAGGGAATCATTTTAGTGTGCTTTTCAGCTGACTTATAACTATTGCGCTGAAATAGGTATTTCAAGTAATGCTGTCGGTATACTACATTTGTAACCTTAATGCATTCTCTGAAGCCCATATGATGGTGGTGCTTTGGAGGGCTCCGATATCCCCAGCTGCTTTCCATGCTAGCAAACCTCTACTGCATGCTGTGGATGGTTTGGACAAAGGGCCATTTGTATATGAAGTTTAACTCACTGACAGCTTAACGGGTGGGCCGCGAATATGCTGTTGTACTATAATATACATGCAGTTTTTTTTTCTTATGCATGAAAGGTCATAACCTGGAGTATTAATTAATCTACCCTTATCCTAATTATGCTAAGTAGGTTGGTTAATCCCCGCGTCCATCATTTTTCGTTTTTATTTGTGCAACAACGCAAGATTGTCGTGATGCTTGTGGCAAAAGGTAATGTTACAAGAAACGTCACCTGACTAGCATTCAGCACCATACAAGCATTCACTGCACAGCACAATCACATGCGTGTGGTACATAACACACAATACTACTACTTAGAAATGATTGATAGTAGCCGTCAAAATTGTAGTTATTCTAATCTGGCAAGCATTAAACAGTTGGAGCGCAGACAGCATAATTGATAGCAAAGAACATGTCTGTTAAGTCACACACACTTGTGCACAGATTCGAAACATAATTATGTTATTTCTGGATTCATAGCGACAAGGCTAGTTATAACTCCCCAAATTTGTGTGAGCTGGGACTCTTCCTAATGATACTCCAAATGACTTCCTGCAACCTCCTGTCTTTTGCTTTTTTACACATTCAGCTCTCATATACTTCTGGGTACTGTGGCTCACAGTCGCTACTTAAATATAATTTTGTCTAATCTGAGGCATTTCGCAGTCATTTCATTTGGCAACATTGTAATGTGCTTGTTTTTTGCAATAATGTAAAGAGATTTATTTCCTGCTAGCTTTTCTTTTATTGGGCTGCTTTAAAAAAATAGACAGTTAGAAACTGTATACTTGAGTAAGTGCACCCTTAATTACTTGGATATCAACTTGTCAGCTTATAGTTTGTATTTAATACTATATTGTGTGCTTTTTCAGCCATCTCACTGACCAGCATCAAGCAAACATAGAGGTAAAAGGATCGAAGATGGTCATTGATGCTTCTTTCAAGACCGGTGGCCAGGTTGATGGTATGTTTTCACTATGATATTGATCATTCTGTGAAAATGCATAGCCGTCTAGTCCTGCAAGATGCTTCTACCTGATGTGCTGATTACTTGCCATAAAAAAATGCACTGTATTATAGAGAGTTAAATCTAGGTTGTCTTTGTGGCTGTAGAAAGGTCTCTTATGATGGAAATTACACAGGCACTCAAGATATGCTTGCATCATTGCCATTGTCACGTGTTTCCAGTATTATTGGCACAGCTGTGCAGAGAGTCTTCAGAAATGCAGTGTTTGTTTTGTTGCAAAAACAAGTGGATGCACCATTAACGCTGCACTCAATCACCTTAGTGGCAGAGCCAGGGCAGTGTTTTGCCTTCCTTTAGTGGCATGGGTGTTGTGCCACTAAACATACTAGCAGTTCTGCTGATCTGCAGTGTGCATTCACAACTCCTATCATTATGGCACTAAGCATCAGGTTCATGTTACCGAGTATTTCACTGGGAGCTAGCCTCAAGTTGCTCTCATCTTGTGCCTCATTGAGGTGTGTCACCTGCCACACGTTCGGCAACGCTTGTCGTCAAGCTAGTATTCTGAGGCGCTCGGTTGATGGTGCCAGGACACTGCTTCTTTTGCTTAAAAGTTTCCTTGAAGGCTGCATCATGTTAGAAAGGCATATCCATACATAGTGAGAACACAGTATGGAGATTTCATTTATGTTATCAAAGCTTGCTATCTTTGTCAGTGTCTTGCGCTTAGGTCAAAACTTGAAATTTATTTTGTCGTCACAGCAGCATTCACTTTATGTTCACAAGTATGCGTTGCTGCAATGTCACAAACATTTGAAGTTTTGACCCAAGTGCAAGACACTGACAGTGATAGCAAGCTTTGATAACATGAAAAAAAAATCTCTATACTGTGTTCTAACTATGTATGGAAATGCCCTGCTAGCATAATGCAGCCTTCAAGGAAACTTCAAAGCAGAAGAAGCAGTGCCCTGGCATCACCAACCTAAGGTCTCAGAATACAAGCTTGTTGATGAGCACTGCTGTAAGTATGCTGCTCATACTAACGAACTTAAATTGAATGCTGCAGCAAAGGCTTGGCATGTGACCAACAAAGTGTATCTTTGCATTCCTAGTTGTAGCAATGTCTGGCCTAAAATAAATATTCTTGTATTATTCAGAATACTGCTTTTGCTGGTACCTGGCCATGCATCCTTTTCCATGTGCTCAGATTTGGGTGCACGTTAAAGAACCCCAGGTGGTCGAAATTTCCGGAGCCCTCTATTAGGGCGTCTCTCATAATAATGGTGGTTTTGGGACGTTAAACTCCACAAATAAATCAATCATGCATCCTTTTAGCAGCCATAATATTGTAGGCTACCTTGTGCCACTACATTTTTTGAATGTCTAAGCGAGTGCTTCTTACATACAGGCATTGTTGGGGCCCTTGTGGAAAGCTTGGGAGACAAACAAGACAGCGTCTGTCGTGCAGTTAGCCACTCTCTGCAAGTTATCGGCAACCATTGGCCTAATCTTGTATTGAGTAGTTGCCATGACTACTTGACCAAGGAGTCAAAAGTAAATATTGCATTTTTTTAGCGTCTTGTGCCTTCAAGCAATTATGCACATGTCTCAGCAATGTGGACATATAATTATTGAGTGTAGATCTTTATTAACCCGTACAGAGCATTAAACTTGACAGGACAAGCATTGATTCGCAACTTGCATTACAAGTTTGCTTATGTGCTGTAAACATTGCTTTTGTCCTGACTCTCATTTTCTTATTTTATTACAGAGGCACAAAATAACTTTTTCAACAGTAGTCCTTGTTTGACTGATCATGGATTTTATCCAGACATTGCCTTACAAAGTACTATTGTAATAAAATGTTGATTCGTTTTTCAGCTGTCATCTTCTCACAAAAACTTGCTGTTCACTGTGATGCACGAAGTGTGCAAGGATTCTGTTGACAAACTAGACAAAGCACTGTTAAACAATGTTTGTAAGACTACAATTGAGGAGATGACACGTACTAAGGTGAGTGGAAGTGTCTTTTTCAGCATTTATCTACATTAGTTGTTTAACTATTAGAAGTCAACGATTAAAAAATTCTGTAGCACTAGAAGAAAAATATTTAACAGAGCCAAACAGCAAGGGCGGGCACTGATTTCAGTGCGTGTCCTTGTTTCACTCTGTTCGTCAATTTATTCTTGCTGCACAGTCTTTCTCAATTATGCACCAACATGCGGAACTTGTAACTTCGATCAGGGCCCTCAGCAAATTTGGACATTTTTAATAAACACCATGCATTGAGCACACAGGGGAGATTGTCTGCCAAACTGGCATGAAACTGGTCAAAATTTTACGCAGTAGACCTTGCACCTTTCCTGTTGAGGAAGCCACATTTTTGTGCAAATGTCAAGATTTCATTCTCAAATGCCCAACTCAACACACACTAGTACTTGTAACATCGCTGACCACATGGCACCAGACCCTATGTGGAATGTGCTATTCTTTCATCTGTGGAAGTGCACTGCTGAGAAACATAAAAAGATAAACAGAAAGGAAGGCTGTTCTCATGATATAATAGAAGGGGCCTTGCAACACTTTTTCAGCATAATCAGGAAACGCTTCTGATCGGTAGCTGAGGCTCCTGATAACCTGCTAGCCAAACATTATAGCACTGCACCCAACCAGGAATTTACTATTCATTTTTAGAGTTAGCTAAAAATCGCTCTCTCTTCTCGACAAATGATGCCATGCACCCAAAATGGCCATGTTACAAGCATAGAGTCCGCGTGCATTGGCTGATTTGAGGATCGTGAGCTGCACAGTTATCATGGCCACTGCTGGATACTACCACATGGCCACGTTTGCCTTAGTGATCACACTGAAAGTAAACCACGTATTGGAAGGAAAAAAAAAAAGAAAAAGTGCTCAAGGTCATTACGTGTACTGACCAAGGGACATATCGGCTTGCCCCTGTGTCATCCCCCTCCCTGCATATCTTTCAGTGCACTTGCTAGTACAAAAGGAGAGAAAGCGGTTGAAGCGTGTGACAAATCCCTGCAACTCCGCTCATACATGGACTCTTAAATTTTTGTGGCAGTCAATTCGTGAGGCAGTAAGCTCTTTTAATAAAGCCATTTGATTACTTTGTGAAGTGTCACAAGGTCCCTTTACTACTAGAGAAGATCAGAGATGTCAATATTTGGTACAGGAGTGGCTGAGTAATGGATAATAAAGTAAATGAGGGATGCTATTTCCAAATTCAGAGGGGCATTTTAGTATCAAGCTGGTGACATAACACATTCTATCTGATGCTTTTACTCAACCAGTGAAAGGAAGAAGTCATTACATCACTTCATAAGACAGCATAAAGAGCTCATTATCTATTCATATCTGATTCATGAAGAAATTTCTTTGTTTGCCTTGGTGGTGCGTTAACTTGTATCTCCACTGAGTAACAGTCACCAATCAGAAAGGGTATGGCTTTGGGTAATAAAGTGCAATATTCAATAGTGGCAGTCACAAATATGTGATGGATACCGCATTTAACATCATCTCTTGACGTCAGCATGGCTGGTCAAAAAGTTTTGCCTTCTGCACATTTATATTTCACTAGTTTTGTCAACATGTAATGCTTTGCAGGCTTTGCTTGATCGTAAGCCTCACTCTAACTGTAAGTAGAGCAAATGCCGCATCCGTGTTTAGTTGGTCGGCTCACTTTTTGCGAGTGTATATTTGTGTCAGACGTGAAACACGCTTCAGGCCATGGTGTTGTGGGCGCGCATGATATACCAGGCGGTGGGCAACACAGTTGCATGGCATCACAGCTACACATGGTTCGCCTGCTTGTGCGTACACATGTTCGGACCAAAATGGGAGGTATAGAGCATGGGCGCAATGGAACGAGTACGTACAAAAACGATGTAAACGATGTTGCATACACGTTTTCAAAAAGAAACCACAAGTTCAGAGAGCTGTCAAAAATAAAGAAAAAACTGTCTTGTTGACACACCACCCCCTGTGTGAGTATATCCTCAATGATGTTAACTTGGCTCTATGAGATGCCATTCATAGCTCCAGAACGTGTGAACCAGACATGCTAGCTGCTTGAGATGCGAATACTAGTACTTCTGTTAGCATTAAGTTTTCTCAGCACTAGACTTGAAAACTTGCGTGCCTGCTGTTTAAAAAAAGCAGTCATTGTGGAGTGCATCTTATAATTATCAACCTGCACTGAACTGGCAGGCAACATCTACTTGGTTGCTTAAAATGTAGTATAAAGCTTTACTTTGTGTCTGTATAATGCAGAAAGTAGTGGCACTTTTCATGTTTTTTTTAGCACTTTATGCATGTTCTCCCCCCAGTACTAAACTTCTAGCTTATAATACAATAATCAGGTCTGGTTTGGAATATGCATGTGAGGTGTGGGATACGCATACTAAAACAGATATTAACAATCTAGAGAAAATCCAAAGGTTAGCCGTCCGCTTTATTTTCAACCGATTTCGCCGGTCTGATTCCCCAACTGAACTAATGCATGATAACAAAATTCAAACTCTAGAATGTCACAGGAAAATTGCAAGACTAAAACTTCTTTTCTATCTATCCAGCAAAAGAAGTGTACTTGAGCTATCAAATATTCTTTCTCCGTTATCTTCGCATCCAACTAGACGATATCGTTCACAAAAATTCACTCCTATCTTTGCTCGAACTAACAATTTCAAATACTCTTTCTTTCCTCGCACATTAACAGAATGGAACGAACTACCACATCACATTTTTGAATCTGGAAACGTGTTAAGTTGTACTGAAAATTTTTTTGAAGTAACTTAGATCTTGTACCATAATGTGTTGTATGTTTACCTGTTAGTTTGTGCCTCCTGTATTGTTCCTTTTTTTGGTCATATCCTCATACTGTACCACCCTCACTCCTGCCTGAGCTATTCTTAGCCTGCAGTATTTTCTAAATAAATAAAATAAATAAATAAATGTGTAGACACATGCAGGGTATCATATTGAGCACCAGTAGATCGCTGACATTTCAAAGCTTTCCTGTAATCAATTAGAGCTATGACTTTACTGTGGCCATGAGAAGCAAGAAATAAAAAAGGAATTTTTTTGTCCCCCACCCCTTGTTCTGTGGCTCTCCTTATCAAGGTCCCTAGGTTGGCAGGTATGCATATGTCGATCTGATAAATATCCTTTAATGTGTTCTACTGTCTGTCATCATTGTTTTGAACAACGTCAGCTGATACTGGCTTATTTATGGTGGCATTTTACTTATTTTATGTTCTCTTTTATGCAGGAGGTGACTACAGACAGCGTCCTTTGTCGTATCGTGATAGCCCTGGGCAGACAGCACCCCCTTGAGACAATGGAGCTGATCCAAGCCAAATTTCAGCCAGGCTCCTTGCCACACCCTCTTGTGTTGGAGACCCTTGCTGGACTAGCCCTTGCCAATCGTGAGTGGCATTATCAGGGACATTTTGGCTTTGAAAGGAATGATGATGTATTGCGCTACCCACGTGTTATATTGGTTGCAGCTTAAACTGTCATATTATGAGAACGTGGGCTACAATTTTTACTAACTTATTTTCTGGGGATTCCTGTAGTTATTATAAAGGCCTATATGAAATATTGAACATGGAAGAAAGTGAAAACAAAATGTAGCCTTATAATACTGAATGCCAGTAACTCCGAAGTATGTAGACGTGGTGTTTAGGTAAAAATGGTCATCTCTGAAGTCTCAAGTCTGTACTGTATAATGCAAGAATTATTAGCTAGTATTACTCATCTTTATTAGACCCGATTACTCGTATGTTAAATCATATTTGCCTGTTCAGAGCATTTTTAAGTGGGCGTGTGCAAATAGTAAATTTTAGGTTTGAAGTGAATAGTGATCTGGTTGAATAATTTCGAATTGAATTTGAACAGAATATATCACCTATTATAAATAAAAATGAATATAGTGGTCATGACACAACTAACCTGCATAATTTTTTTATTTCAAACAAGCATGTGAAAACGTCATTCATTTTTGTTCAAAGGAAGTGAAAGGAACTTTGAATGGTAGCAGGATTCGAATTTCAATAGAATGCAACTGATAACCTGTAAGATATGTTACATTTTGTTAACTATATTTAGAGCAGATAAGCTGGTATAACAAGTTTTCAACTTGCCCCGCCACGGTGGTCTAGTGGCTAAGGTACTCGGCTGCTGACCCGCAGGTCGCGGGATCAAATCCCGGCTGTGGCGGCTGCATTTCCGATGGAGACGGAAATGTTGTAGGCCCGTGTACTCAGATTTGGGTGCACGTTAAAGAACCCCAGGTGGTCGAAATTTCCGGAGCCCTCCACTATGGCCTCTCTCATAATCATATGTTGGTTTTGGGACGTTAAACCCCACAAATCAATCAATCAACAAGTTTTCAACTTGAAAAATGGTAATTCATGTGAGGGTAATATGTTCTTTGACATTGCGGCAATGCGAATTTCTTTTGGTTAGGTGCATTCGTTGTATATCACTCTTACACTGCAGTGAAACTACTTTTACAGTGCTACGTGCAGTTTGTGTATATATTTGTTCATTTTGAATACTTGTTAAAAAATTTGAACTGTTCGAATATTCACTCAAGCCTAATTTTGAGCAAAGTAAAAGCAGTAAATCAGTTTTGGAAGAGGGAGGTGCGAATAGGCAAACTCCTGTAAAAAATTAACAGAAAAAGATGCTTGATAGTTGCTACTACTATCAGTCTACTGTGATGCATAAGATAACTCCTAATTGGGCATTTTGGTATAGGTTCATGATGGAAAGAGTGCAACTAAAATGAAGAACTTACTGTGACGTTGCTGATAAGAGTCTAATGAAAATTTTTTCTTGTGGCAAAATAAATTAGTTATTTTTTCTGTGTTCAGTAGAACTCTGTTAATTAATGTGTGGGTAAATGTGGATGACGTGCCAGTGGCAGCTCTTCTTCAGTTATATTTTAGGTTCGAAAAAGATGGGAAGATACTGTGAAGTGATCTTTTATGTAAATATATATAATCCCAGATAACTGACAAGCCTTGGTTATTGTTACCTCACTTAGTTAACTAAGGCATAACTGCAGCCATGTTAATTGTGGGGCTTTAGTGTAATTTTAAGTTCTGAATCATTTCTTTTAATTGTATTCTGCTTGTAGGTTCTTGTGCATGTAAATCTCTTCATATTGGGTATTTCCTGAAAGCAGTCTTGTCTAGTAACAACCGATAAGGACTTTTTTTTATAACAGGGCACTTAAAGGTTTGATTTTTCTTTTCAGCATTTGGTATCATGCCCTTCTTAAAAGCTTTACTTGGCACCATGTTACCAATGTTAAGTGGAGCTCGCACTGAACAGCTCAAGTGGGCTATGGTATTTGGTAAGCAAATGACATTGTATGTCCTGTACTTATGAACTTTGCTTTATGCATTTTGAAATGAAATGCATGGACATTCTGAAATAGATGTAATTTTTATAATGACATGTATTATACCGTGTAGATATATTAGGTACCATACCTCTGATTTATTTTAACAATGTGGCACAAGTTAATTAAGCATAGCTCTTGGTTACTGGTGCTTAAAGGGGCAGTAAACAACCCCGAGGTCCAAAAATTGTTATGAAAAGAAATATGCACACTTCTGCTATGTGAACATGCTGCCGTAAATGTTTTGTGAATGCATGCTATAATAAAGAAGTTAAGGGGTTTAGAACATTCGTTTCAGCGGGTTTTAAATTTTCGCATGGCCTCACCACCTTTCTGTGCCACAGGGAGCGGAAAGCCTCGCTGCGGTGGTCTAGTGGCTAAGGTACTCGGCTGCTGACCCGCAGGTCGCGGGTTCAAATCCCGGCTGCGGCGGCTGCATTTCCGATGGAGGCGGAAATGTTGTAGGCCCGTGTGCTCAGATTTGGGTGCACGTTAAAGAACCCCAGGTGGTCGAAATTTCCGGAGCCCTCCACTATGGCGTCTCTCATAATCATATAGTGGTTTTGGGACGTTAAACCCCACATATTAAATCATAGGGAGCGGAAAGGCATAGCCCATCATTTTTACTCCGCTCACTTCGGCAACAGGAGACAATGTTAGCGATACGTCGTCGTTGCGCAGCCAACGACTGAGTAAGGCATCTCCAGCATGAGCATGTCATAGCAGCGTGGGGAGAAAGCACAGTTCGAGGAGTACCCCTTGCCTAGCAGTAAAGTAGTAAGACACATTTTTTTCCTCCAAGGCTTTCGTTCTGGTAACACCGCTTCTTGCAGTAGTCTCGGGCTCTACAAAACAGTAGAGGGCAGCACAGAAAAATAAAAATGTAGACTACATGGTCGAAACTGCATCACTACAGGGCCAAGGCGCCGTTTCTTAGGACAAAGGACCAATCGACTAGCTCAGCGGCACTGAACTTGTCGAAAGCTTGCCCATAGGCAAGCTTTCGTCAATCGCTCCATCTTCCGCTCCATCTGGCAGAGCCTTGTGCCAACTGCAAGCTAGGAAGAAGTTCGACAAGACTGCAGAATTCTAACTAAGTCCAGTGTCATGCCATTTTGCGGCCATGTTTGTGCCACATACTGTCGTACATAATGGCAATGTCGTCCCTGCTAAGTTCTATCACTGCGAGCTCTTTCAACCTCGCAAGATTGGTGCCGACGTCATCCATTGCCACATCACGAACTTTCCGGCTGACGGGCGTGAATGACTTTTGATGCATTGATCGCAAGTTTGGCATTGATCGCAAGATGGTTATATTTTGATGCATTGGTCGCAAGTGAAAGCCGCTTCACTTGCGAGCAATGCTTTTTTCCTTCATAACGGAGATAATTACACGAGACATGGACATGGACATGGACCCTGCAAATAGGCTTCACAGCACATACAGGTGCGCAGCGGCCAATGGCGGTCCCCGATTCGTACCACGTGATAAGCCAGTCGCGGCGCTCGAAAAATGCGCAGAAGCGTCCTTCTTTTTATTACTTCTTGTGCCACATCAGCGAGGGAAACTGCTGTTGCGTGAAGAGTTAGGCTCGACTCTTCAGCTAAGGTGCTCAACTATGACGAGCGGCGGCGCATTATCGGCGGCAAGGTGCTCGAAGACTGCACACTTTAAACCTTTTAACAGGCACCTTGTGCTCTTCAGATGCTATTTTAAAGCATTTCCAGTTAAGTCTCGACCTGTATTTTTTTTTCATAACAGTAGAGGTACTAATTTTATCAAAATAGGCAAAAATTAAATATCGGTAATTTTGAAAAAAACTCGCGTTTTTCGACCCACATCTCTCCTTAAAAGCCACTGTTCTGCTGCTTTTTACAGCAAATACCTCTTCAAAGTTTATGACATATTCAGGGGGGGTTTTCAAGTACGGTAGACTCTCAATAGAAACTGAACCTGAAGAGGCCATAAAAATTTTTCGTTTAACAGTAGTTTCATTTACTGAGAGATAAGCATGGGTGCAAATGCAGGTACGAAACCAATGATATTATAGGCAACTGTTCCATTCAAGGAGCTGGCTAATTTAACTGTTTTTTGTTTACTGAGAGTCTACTGTGACAAACTTTCCAGACATTATATCTGCTGCGGTGGTGTAGCGGTTAAGATGCTCGGCTACTGACGCGAAGGTCGCGGGTTCGATCTTGGCCGTGGCGGCCGCATTTCGATGGAGGCGAAACGCTAGAGGCCCGTGTGCTGTGCAATGGCAGTGTGTGTTAAAGAACACCAGAAAGTCAAAATTTCCGGAGCCCTCTACTATGGCGTCTTTCATAATTGTGGTTTTGGGACGTTAAACCCCAGATATTTGTACCAGACGGTACAAATACAAGCAAAACTCATAACAATGGATTGTTTTAATTATCCGAGAAAGGCCTCTATATCCAATGCATTGGTCTCTATGCAAGATGGCAGGACGTTGCATATGCTACTAACCCATTGTGGATTGCAAAAATACTGAAACCGTTGAAATATAAGTAAGGTCATAAAGTAGTTATTAGTGATCATAGAATCATGTACATTGCACAGTACTTCCTTGTCTGCCACTTATCGGATTTGATAACTGAAGCGGGGCAGTTTTCATGCACTAGAGCATATGAACACTTGCACAAGGACAAAACTGATAGTTGGAACAATGGCAGGACAATTGGTGGTGACAAACTTGTTCAAGCATGCCACCATTTCAGTTAGCTGTAGTTTGTGTTTATGTACTACAAAAATGCAGGGAATAGAATGAACTGACCCAAGGGGCAACACTTACTGTACAAGGTGTTTTTTTAAGCAATACAGATTTTTTCTTAAAAAACTATAATAGTTGGGCACTCTCCGTCTTCACAGGCAATTTTTAGGCTGAGACAAAAATTTTGCCATTAATGGGATCTCTGAGAAATGATTAAATAGATATTTCAGCTAACTTGATTATTATTAGTTTTAGGGTGGTTGTTTATAGGACAAAGTTATTTTACGTCACGAAAATATGGCTAGCCCAGTTCCTAAAAATCTAAAATATTGCGCATTGTTTCAAGGATCCATCGTCAAATTTTCAGAATGTGGCGCGGAAGAAACCGAAACTGAGCGCACAGGGTGCGCCAAAAGGGAGATCCCCGAGCTGCATCGCACACAAACTTCCCTTTATGTAATCACTGCCAGATGCAAGACTAATGTGCCTTCGTTTCGCATGCGTTCATATTCTCACACTTTGCACATCGTGCGCCATCCGCGTTCAAGCACTCGTAATGCTCATTTATCCTCACGTATGAGGGGCAGACACCACAGTTGGCTCTGTGCTAGGAGATTGGACACTGACCATCGTGAGTATGAAACATTAAAGGGCTTTACTATTCGAGTCTTGCACCTTCAAAATTACAAATAATCAGATAACCACCACACATCATGTGTGAAAGACCATTGGTCGGCATGCACTGCTAGGATGACATGTTTCTTGCACGGCGAGGTTCTCGAGCAACGCGTCATCATTCGAATTACGTAAAGGGAAATTCGCTCATGAGACAGCACAGGGACAGTCTTAGCGGTGCACCTGGTGTGTTCAGTTTCGGTTTCTGTGACATTAGAAATGCTACGATGGATCCCTGAAACTACACGTGATAGTTTCAATATAAAAACCGGGCTCGCCATAACTTGTGACTAAGAACAACTTTGCTATTTAAACAACTACCCCAAAATTGATAATAATAAGAAGTCTTGGTATGGATGACCTTTATTAGGCTGGAGGAACCGGCAGCTGACAGCTACTATGAATGAACCAAGATGATGATGCTACGCAACAACGATGAGAATGCATGAGCAACACATGGTAATGATGATAATGTACAAGCGAAGAAGATGGGTATGCTAAATGCCCACACCAATTCCCCCCACGTGAAAGCGGCCAGCCTGGCCGCGGCAAGTCAAGGGGACAAAGAAGGTCACATGAAGGGCTTCATACAGGAAACATGGACGACCTCTGTAGTTCGATAATGGCGATCTGCTGGGGCTACAAGTGGCGTCACGCAATAATTCTCTGGTGAAGTCTATTCAAGAACTGCGTACGGCCCGATAAACCGTGGCTAAAATTTTTCACACAAACCAGGTGTGCGAATAGGCGTCGAAAGAAGCACTTCATCTCCAGGTTGAAAGGATACAGCACGATGCGATTCATCGTAAACTAGCTTTCTGTCTTGCTGTCGGGCTTCAGCGTTTATACGAGCACGTTGGCCACACTGTGCGAGTCGTAAAACGTATTCCTTTGAAGAGGATGGAGATTAATCTGCTTGGCAGGTAAAGAAAGAGACATCAAGGAAAGAAGTAGGGGAGCGTCAATAAACTAGGTAAAATGGTGGGTAGCCGGTTGTCCGCTGAATGGCCGTATTGTAGGCGAAAGTGACGAATGGTAGAACTACGTCCCAGTTCTTGTGGTCTGGTTGAATATAGGCGGCGATCATGTCAGCAAGAGTGGGGTGGAATCGCTCAGTGAGGCCGTTAGTCTGGGGATTATAACTAGAGGCAGTCTTGTGACTTGTGCCGGAGGCGTGAAGAAGTTCGTTCACTAGTTGTGGAAGGAAGCCCCTTCCACGATCACTGAGCAATACACGTGGAGCACCATAGCGCAGTATAATGGCTAGGAGGATGAAATCGGCAATTTCAGAAGCTGAACCAGTAGTGACGGATGCCGTCTCGGCGTAGCACTTCAAATGGTCAACGGCTGTTACTATTCACCGGTTTCCAGCAGCACTGACTGGAAGGGGGCCATAAAGGTCGACGCCTACAACTTCGAATGGTGTTGCTGGGCACGGAAGAGGCTGTAATGTACTGGCTGGAGCAGATGTTGGTAGTTGTCTACATTGGCAGGTAGTGCAGGACCGGACGTACCGAGCTACACTAGTGGTAATGCCTGGCCAAT